CCACGTTGAACAAAATGTATTCATGGTAAGTTACAATTATTTAAAGTGGATTTAGAAAGGTTCTTGTTTTCTCTGTTTTGGGCTGTGCTACTGGTGTGGCGCTGAGGGTTAAGCCCTGGACTGCAAAGCTGGTGGTTCAAGTTCACCGGCCACTCCTCGGAAACCCTATACAGGGTCATTATGGGTTGGAACAAACTTGACGGCACTTAACAACAACCACTGACATTTTATGAGCATTAGTAGCACCGTGGTGTGGCGCTGCGGGTCAATGCGCTAGGCTGCCAAGTCATCTGAACTACAAGATTGGCAGTTCAAGCTCACTAGCCGCTCCTCGGAAACCCTATATAGAGTAGCTATGGGTCAGAACCGACTTGATGGCACTTAACAACAAGAAGTAGCAGAATGGGTTACAAGTTGGGCTGCTATCCACAAGGTCAGCAGTTCGAATCTACTGGCTGCTCCTTGGGAGAAAGATGAAGCTTTCTGTTTCCGTAAAGACCCATGGTCTCGGAAACTTTATACAGGGGTCACTATGGTCACTATAAGGAGCTCTGGTAGCGTAGTGGTTACGAATCGGGCTGCGAACCTTAAGGTCAGCAGTTCGAAACTACCAGCCGCTCCGCGGGAGAAAGATGAGGCTTTCTATCTCGTAAAGATTTAAACCCTTGGAAACCCTGTACAGGGTCGCTATGGGTCGGAACCGACTCGACGGCACTTCACAACAACAACAACAATGGTCACTATGAGCTGACACATCACCACCACTGTTATTTTGGAGTCCTGGTGTGGTGCTGTAGGATAAGCACTGGATTGATAACTGCAAAGTCATTGGTTCAAAGCCACCAGTCACCCTTGGAAACCCCATACAAGGTCACTATGAGTCAGAACCCTATACAAAGTTACTATGATGATACTTAACAACACTAATTTAAATGTAAACAATAGCATAAATATTGAGATAATCAAATAAGAAACCAATATTATTCCTATCAGCCAATAAGAACTGACCTCATTGGAATACAACAGGTATTGGAAAAGTTATGGGGGTGCCGCCATTGTGGAAAATGGTTTGATGGTTCCTCAGAAAGCTAAACACAGAACTACCATGTGCCCTGGCAGGCTCAACCCTAGGACAATCCTGGGTGTCCACTCAGAAGGTGTGAAGGAAGGCAGGAGCACCCACAGAAACAAGCCCGTCCACCAACATCCACTACAGCATGGTTCTCAAAAGCCAGATCGTGGCAACAACCAAATACCCGTCAACAAAGAAATGGCCTCACAAATGTCCATTCCACCCAATGGAGTGGTGCCCAGTCCTGAAGCCATGACAAGATGAGCCCAGAACATGACATGTGGAGTGAAACAAATCAATTGTAGAAGGATAAATCATGGATGATCCCCTGTATACGAAACAGGCCAAGAGGCAGAGACCAGAGATGATGGATTAGTGGTGACCAGGAGTGGGAGGGAGGCGGCGAGGGAGCTGTGGTTTGCTGGTGGGCGGTGGTGGTGGGGGGCAGTGAGTTCATATTTATGGTGGTGGAATAAGTCAGGATAGGAAGAAGGGGGTCCATGATGGATTTGGCAAGGAGAAAGTGTTGAGGTGGAGAAGGTTTAGATGTGAATACGTTCACCATACACACAGACACACACACGCAAGACAAGCTGGGAGCATTTGGGAGGAATCCAGACCTCTGGTGAGAGGTGTAGTTTTGCTTCAGGGTCACTGAAGTTGCGTCCATGGCGGGGGACTATTTGGAGAAGGAATGTGAGAAGAGTTGCCACCGAACAGTGCAGAAATGGTTGAGAAGGAGTGGGTTTTGTTATTGTACATTTTTACCACAAGAAAAAAGAAAAAGCAAAAATAATCATTTGCTAGTGGTCAGATTCCAAGTTAAGCACTTTGCAAAGGTTACCCATGATAACCCCGTGATCTAAAGATTGCAGTATTCTCCATTTTAAGGAGTCTCAATGGAACAGTAAGGAGCCATGGTAACGTAGTGGATTATGAACCAGGCTGCTAACTGCAAGGCCAGTAGTTCAAATCTACCAGCCACTCCGTAGGAGACAGATGGAGGTTTTCGCCTCGAGTAAAGATTTTGTCTCCGGAACCCTATACAGGGTCGCTACAAATCAGAACCGACTCGAGAGCCATGAGTTTTGAGTTGGAGTAGTGGTGTAGTGTTTAAGTGCTCAGATACTAACTGTAAGATTGGTGGTTCAAATCCACCGATTGCTCTGTGGGAGAAAGATGAGGCTGTCTGCTTCTATAAAGATTTACAGCAGTTCTATTCTGTCATATGGGGTCGCCATGAGTTGGAATCGACTCAGTGGCTGTGAGCTTGGGTTTTAAGCATTTCAAACTCATTAGTCCCCTGTGTGAGTAAAACCTAGCAATGTGTTCTCTGTCCTACAGGGCCACTATAAGTTGGAATAGACTTAATGGCACATGGCAACGTCTCCATTTTACAGATGGGGAGACTGAGGCTGAACAGTTCAATGGGTCTCCCAGGCTTTGGCCAGGTCAGTCTGGATGACCTAGCTTGTGTGGTTCTTCTCAAGTCTCATGTTGTGAAGCTCCCATTAGGACAGAGGCCTGTGGGTTGAGAAAGAAGCCTCGGTGACCACACCAGCCACATAGAGGGCAGAGCTGAAGGTCACACAACCTTCCAGACCTCCACTCCCAGGGGCGGGCCTCTGTCCTGAGCTCGCCAGCATCATTCCTGCCTCTAAGGAGACTGTTTTAGAAGAAGTACACCTGGAAAACTCCTTAGAAGCAAGGAGGGCTAGAGATGGTCTCATGGACTTTGGACATGGTACCGGGAGGGACCAGTCTCTGGAGAAGGACATCATGCTTGGTAAAGTGGAGGGCCAGCAAAACAGAACAAGACCCCCAATGAGATGGATTGTCTCAGTGGCAGCAGCAACGAACTCAAACATGGCAACAATTGTGAGGATGGCGTTGTTGTTGTTGTCAGGTGCCATCGAGTCGGAACCGACTCATAGCGACCCCATGCACAGCACAGCAGAATGAAACAATGTCCGATCCTGGGCCAACCTCACTACCGCTGCCACACTTGAGTCCATCAATGATGCCACCTGGCTGATCCATCTCGTTGGGGGTCTTCTGTTGTGCATCGGGTCCCTGTGAGTCAGAACCACCTGGATGGTGCCTAATGACACATGCTACGTTACAAAACGCTATGGTGAAAGAGACTCCTCTTAGCAGCAGTATGCCCACAGGACAATGTGACAAGCCAGCAGGAATGAGTGCCTTGCCTCTGCCCAGTGACTACTGCTAAAGACTAGGACAAAGTGAAATACAAACTTTCCAGCTTCTGACAAAGACCTGATTTCTCACTGCTATCCTCAAAGTTTAGTGACCAGGGGGCTTTGGATCTGTGTTAAGATGAAATCTTTGCTTCTGGAACCCTCAAACTTTGTAAGGACACCTCACCCACTCTAGTAACTCCAATGGGAGCCCTTCCTGCTGCAAACTCATGGCATTCCCTGGCAACCGGAAGGTAGGGGTGACCACCGATCTCTCAACCCACTAAGTCAAGATGGGAGGAGGTTCCGCTTAGGAGTTTTCATTTTAGCAATCAGGAATTCAAACAAAAGTCTGGCTCTGGGCCACTTTGCTGTAAAAAACCTCTTGAAAGTATTCAAAAGCAAGGAAGTCACTTGGAGGACTAAGGTGCACTTGACCTAAGTCACGGTATTTTCAGTCGCCGCATATGCATGTGAAAGCTGGGCAGTGAATAAGCAAGACTACAAGAGAATCTGAATATGATGTTGACAAAAAAAAAAGATCAAATCTGCCTTAGAAAAAGTGTAGCCAGAATGCTCCTTAGAAGCCAGGATGGTGGGAATTTGTCTCACGTCCTTTGGATGTATCATCAGGAGGGGCCTATCCCTAGAGAAGGACATCATGCTTGGTAAAGCAGAGGTCAGTGAAGAAGACGAAGACCTTCAATGAGATGGATTGCCACAGTGGTCGCAACACTGGGCTCAGATGATGGAGAGGTTGGTGCAGGGTTGGCCAGTGACACACTGCTGGCCAGTGACACACAGCTGGCCAGTGACACACAGTTGGCCAGTGACACACAGCTGACCAATGACACACAGCTGACCAGTGACACACAGCTGGGTCCTGCATGGTCATTTAAGGACGAGGTATAGTTTCTGTCCCTTGACATCTAACCAACACCAGCTCTTGTTTTAATTTTAAACGTTCAGGGGGGACCCCACGGCTTCCATGAGAACTTGCTGATACTATTTTACCATCTTAATGCATTTCAGCGAGTCCTGGTGTGGCGCTGTAGAATAAGCCCTGGACTGCGAACCACAAGGTTGGAAGTTCAAACCCACCAGCCGCTCCTTGGAAACCCTCTACAGGGTGGCGACGAGTCAGAATCGATTCAACTGCACACAATAACAACACATCAACCGTGTGTTTCAGAGATTTTTCTCTGCCTCTTGATTAAGTTAAACAGCGGCGGTTCTGTCTGCTTGGGGCCTCTTTCCCAATGTTCATATAAGGAAGGCAGATACCTGCTGAGACCACACAGCTGATGAGCTGAGAAGTCAGGGGACACCTGGTACCCCAAGGCCACTTCACCCAGAACATGTCTCTCAGGGAGACACTGGACCCAGCAGTCCAACCTCCTCTTTTCACAGATGAGGAACCTGAGGCCCAGAGGACCAAGGCCACCCCGGAGGATGCTCAGGAGGGATGTGTCTGGACTAAGATTCTCAGGAAAGGAAGTGACCGAAGCAGGAAATGCCCTGACCCTGAAGGTCATTGCTTCTGGGGGGCAAGGAGTGAGGGCTGGTTCCTGCTCTCAGCACCTCAAGGAGACAAGCTCTATCTTCGTAACAAGAATGGCATTCTCACCAGACTCCCCTGGGGACAGGTGAAACTACAACCAGTCACCCCCCTGCACAGCAACCTCCCCCCCACCCCAACCCCGGAGTTGAAGGAAGTAGGGGATAATTACGTCCTCATCGTGTTCCAGTTCCAGGCCAGCTTCCAGGAGGTTCCCCTCGTACTCCTCCCTGCGGAAACTCTTGTCATCCTCATGGTAGTCCATGGGGGGCTCAGGCCCTCCAGCCTCTACCAGAGTCCCCTTTCCTGGCAGGGGCTGGTCCTGCTTGACGCTTCGAGCAGTCTGGGTGACGTCACTGTGGAGAACCCTTCTGGCCAGAGTCTTGCTGCCCGATGGCCGCTTGTGGTGGTACACCAGGATGTAGTCCACCTTCCGTTTACCATCCCGGAAGTAGAGACCATACTTGCACTGGGCATCGGGATCCACCGACAAAGAATTTAGCAACTGAGGAGGGAGAAGGGAAACACAATTAGTAATAAGCTGCTGTTGTTGCTGGGTCTTTAAAGGGAACATCTTTCACATAGAACCAGCTCATCCATCCATCCATCCATCCATCCATCCATCATCCATCCATCCATCCATGCACCCATCCATCCATCCATCCATCCATCCATCCATCCATCCATCCATCCATCCATGCACCCATCCATGCACCCATCCATCCACCCATCAATCCATCCACCTACCCATCCATCCATCCATCCATCCATCCATCCATCCATCCATCCATCCATCCATCCATCCACCTACTCACCCACCCATCCATCCATCCATTCATCCATCCATCCATCTACCCATCCACCCACCCATCCATCCATCCATCCACCCAC